GCCGCGCCGAGCCAAGAGCGCCTGCTTCAGCTCTTCCCACAAGATGGCCGGGCCGAAAGAGGGGGGCCGTCTTCTCTTCCGGCGCCAGGCACACATCCGGGAGCGCCTTGCGCCGCACGGCACCATGGGGTACGTAGGCCAGAGTCGTTTCTCCTGAGGTGGCTTCCCGCGCCAGGACTACAATTCCCAGAAGGCACCGCTCAACAACTCTTCGCGCTCGTCTAAGAGGCGGGACCTCACAGAGGGAGAGAAGCGTGCGAGCTGAAGGAGGGGAAGCATGGTGGTGGGCGGAGTCCTGCCACCTGCTGGTACCACCCTTAAACTCTCTAGGTCTTCAGCTGCCCTGAAACCAGGAAAATGTCACGACGTATTTTGCTCGCGAAAGTGTGCCTTGGTTTCACTCACCCGGCCTCCGGCTCCGGGGTAACTTTCCCCACCTCTCTGAGAGGGTCAAGGTCACAAACTTCCGGGGGTGTGGGGGAGTGTGTTGTTGAGATGCCGCGCCGCCGCCGGTAGGCTGGACCGGGTCTGTTCCAAGTCCCTAGCTGCTCAGCTGCTGGAGTTGTCCTGAACCCTTCATACCGAGTCGGGGCTCTTCTGTTTAATGTAAGGCGGAAGACACTTCCTCTGGGGGGGACATGAACTCGAGGAGCAGAACTAACCAAAAAGACAAGTTGAACTATCCACATGAGAAAGTTGCGCTCCTTTCCAGAGCAAGAAATGCCGTGTTGCGATGGGTGCTGTAAGAGCTGTTAACCCCTGACGGTGCAGCACTAGATACTGGGCAAGCCTCCAAAAAGCACTGTTTGTAGAAACACTTTCTAGAATCATTTAAATTAATTGTGCATCATTGTACAGCAAGCCAAGGCTTAGGTGGATGTGATTTGTTAGTAAAATGTGCTCAAGAAATAACATTTTAGAGCATTTTGAGTATATGTGTGCTGGGAGGTGCACCGAGAGGAGGAAAGTATGTCAGCAAATTAATTTAGTTATGATAAAGCATTGATAGTAATTGAGCTTATTAAAGTTCATGAAGGCACATTTAGTAACGCGATAAGTGTTTAAATATATCATAATTTTAAAATCTTTTTCCATTAATACAAAATACTTGTATAATAGAAAAATGCATCCTTACGTGGCAGGTGCTATGAATAACTTTCATCTTAACAACATCTTGTTAGGTAAGTAGTTTCCCCCTTTCACACCTTATGAAACCATTTCAGAGGTGAAATGACTTACCAAGTTCACACATCTATAAGTGCTAGTGCCAGGCATTAATCCAGTCTTCTAACTACACTATGAGTCTGTTGACATCAATTCTTTAATCCAGACTGACCTGATAGAACTCAGACAATTATTAAATTTCCAATACTTAATAAGATTTAAACATTGCTGCATGTCGGTCAGGGTATGTAACATGGCTGAATGTAATCCTATCAATTTTTGTGCAGATTTGAAATCAATTCATTAAAGGGAAAATAGAAGATAGAGTCATATTATGGGCATGTGGCAATAAGCCTCCTGGTTTTCTTATTTATCCTTCCCCACTCCTCAAAATCACTTATTTCCCTGTTGCCTTAGTACCCCTCAGCACCACCACCCCCATCTCACCCTCCCTTCCACAAGCTTTGCCTCTTGTGGCTCGTACAGAGACAAGGAGCTTTTGACCATACTCTTCCCATCGTTTGAAAATAGCTGAAGAGTCTCTTCCAGGGACAGCTTCTAGAGGCACTCAGAATGGTCCAGCGTCTGACATACTGTCATAGGTTGGGAAGGCACCAAAATCTGGATGTGGCATGTGTCCAGGAAGATTTTGAGGGATTCATGCTGTGAGACCTAAAGTTTAGAAGGTTGTCTAAAACAAAT